TTTTGGCGGTGGTTTTGGCGGTGGTTTTGGTGGCGGTGATGGTGGTTTTCTTGGTGGCGAACCTCCTGGTGGCTTACCTCCTGATGGCATACCACCCGATGTTTTACACGGACATGTGCCACAACTGCCGCAACAAGAACCACAAGGGTCTTTAGGACATTGTTTTGGAGGATTACTTGGGCAAGGTTTGGAACAAGGTAGTCCAAAACAAGGGTCAAGAGTCAAAGGCATCGTACTAATATATGCGTGTTGCACAGCTCTCTCAGAGTTTGCCGCTGCAATAGAAAAAAACGACTGAATTCCAGAATATTCATATGGATTATATATGAMAGACTTTTCATCTATAGATATTTACCCTGTTTTCTTTTAAAGCACCAAATCTTCCCTCTTGGACTATAAAAATTGACTGAACGCTCAGACAAAAATATGTCTTCGTAACAGCAGCCCGCTTCCATGCACCTCTCTGGGGTTACGAAAGGGGAGTTTAGGTCCGCTCTGCAGTCAACTCTATCTTCCGATGGCACATTGCATGTGGGTTCTATTGTAAAAATATGGATGATGTTTTAACAAAGAATATGATCGACTTTGATGTTGATCGAAGAGAGCAAATCAAGAACATAAAGGTCGTTTAAGCTTATCATAAGGAAACCTATAAAATATTAGTACATGTTTATTACTTTACCTAAAGCTTTTCTTCTCAGAACGTTTTGTGGGGCAACCTGAAACACGTCTTTAACGTCTTGTGTTGATGGGCCATAGTGTGCTGTAACATAGGTACCATCTCCTGGTTTGATATTCAGACCACACCCAACTTTGGTGTGACTTTTCCAGACAATAGGCATAAAGTGACACATGGGTTTGCAGTCTCCTCTACCGGTTTCGTAGCTGTAATTGTTCTTTATCTCCGAGTACCAACCTCTGATGGAGCCTGTTRACAAGAAGAAAACGGACATGCAGGACTTGATATACAGCTATTTCAAAGAACGTTTTCGGGGAGAACGGCGAACGCCGATTGACGAAGGGAGATTGCACGGCCGAAAGGGACTATGGTTGCACTGTTTTGACAAACAAAAATTCACTTATTTGATTAATCTTACATAGAAATGGTAAATAAAGCCAAGCTCTACCACAGACCATCTTACAGTACTAATCAGTTGTTATTGCCTTTCAACTAGCAAAACCCATGGTTAATTTCGGTCGTGCAATCGCCATTCGACCATTGACATTCGCCATTTTATCCGACAGCCTTTTTTGAAATAGCTATAAAGTCAATCACTGGAACATTGTTTGAAATTTTCTTGTAAGCTGTTTACCTGGAATAGCTCCTTCCATGTGATCCATGCCAGGCAGTCCATTACGGACCCATGAAATGCTTTCGTTTAATGTTGTCCTRTGTTCGGAGTGCATGACCTTTCCTTGATCAGCTTCTTGATCAGTCCATCTTTGTGCTGATCGGGCCAAATCGTCATCACAGACCAATGGACGAACATTGTGCAAACTGCGGTAATAGTTGATGGTCTTAAGACAGGTCAATTGGCACTCTGGTCCACAATCTGTAAGATAGAATTTTGCAGAAGATGAATGATAATATGGGGTTTTTAAAGGAAATATACGCTTGCCCATTTTGTTTTAATTCGTACTTAGTCCTTTGCCACAATTGCCAATGTYCATCCATGTTGGGTTATCGTCTCCATATACTTCTTCGTAAATTAACGACTGGTTTTTAGGTTTATCTGAGATGAGAAGGAAATTGAATTGCTTTTCATTTGATAAGTTATAATTGTATTTAGAAGAGGATATTACATGAAAGGCATATCAATTAGATAGTGAAAAGCTACAAAGCTTTATATTACAACATATTCTGAATTTCGACTTTAGAACATTTGACCAGTGACCTTTTTTATAATTATTAATTTATTTATGTAAACTAATGGAGTGCTAACAGCTGTCTATCTAGTCCTGGCCCACACTGATGCGATTTGTTGCCTTTTTATATAGTTCTCACGGTCCTGAATATGAAAACGTTGCGTAAACGCATCAGTGTCGACGAGGCCTTACGTCTATCATTCATGACTTACCATAAATACTAGCAGCCAAAGAGCCGCAGGTTATATACAAAATAACTATTAATACAAGTAAAAGTTGATTGGCCATTGCATTGTCATTACCTAGAGGATGAAGAARAGAATTAATATGATTACGTAAGAAAGACGCAAGCTCGGATACTGAAACGTTGCGTTGCGCACGGAGACGATATTACGTATTCATCATCATTCGGTTACAGGCGTTCCTTGTTTTAAAAACGCGCTTGTTAAGAACGCACAGCAGGGGCTATCGTTTTTCGATACCGMTGAAGATCTTGACTACGATTCAAACGTAAGACTTGTTATTGAAAACTAGACTTTGAATCCAGTTTGTCTATTTTTCGCACGTGTTTCATTATAGATTGTTGCGAGCAGGTTAAGTCCTTGAAAGTAACAGGTTACAAAACTAATCAAAGCCCAATTTTCTACATCATTACTAACATAGTATTTCTGAAMTTCAATGGGCGCTTCAAAGCAAACGAACGTTCAGAGTTAATTTACTCTTACTGCAATTGTTCTTCATCAAATTTAATGGCATTTATGTACAAATAAAAAGTAATTAGTTAATTTGAAAATGCGCGCATACAGTAAAATCTTATCACTGAATATATCTACTGCAAGCCATAGCCTGAATATCATGTCGCTTCTAATTCCCCGAGTCACCATTCACAAAAAAAAGATGAGAATCATAGTTAAAAAAAGCAGTTTAAAAACAAATACTGTAATTCTTATAACATTTTTGTGTGYATCACAWTTTTTTATTTTTTCATTGTTTTGACATAATTGAGATTTATTGGTTTCAATCAATTATTGATTGCTACCTATCTTAACAAATTTGGGTCTGTCCAAAGTATTTTTTTAAAGATAGATGTAATAAACACTGAAAAGCAAAAACGTTATCATAGACTAAACAACTTTTACTTTAGTAAAAAAGAAACAAATTTAATCAAAAACATAAGAATAACACTTAATCTTAACGATTTCTTTTGTCTATTGAATGTATTCCTTTTTACTAAACACACGGCAAATGGTCTATTTCTCAACAACAACGTTTTTACAATTAAGTATATATTCACTCTGTCTCTATACCCCGCGAAATTGGTCCTAATCGCTTACTCGGGCTTGTGTTTCATCGTCTTTTCAATGCAAACGACATTTTCTTTCTCAAGTCACAATAATTGTAATGTTTACAGTGTACTTAGTATTTCTAGGCTGTAAAACCGCTTAAATTGAAGAATTCAACTTACCTAAATAATTTTCTCTAAGTCCATTGAATGAAAAAGCTTCTGTAAAATCCCGCTTTTCGTTTGAAAGAATATCAGTGTTTTTTCTTCAATTTTATTTTGGCCATTTTCCGGCCGTATTGAAAGATAGTCCGACTGAAACACCTGTTAATTGACTCTTCGGCTTTTTGATGGTGAAATGACTCGTGGATARGATACCTGTGAACTAAATCGAGGGATTTGGCGCCTTGACATTTCTTCCTTACTATCGTACCACCTTTTTTTCATTTGTGTACTATATGAATTACCGACTGACGCAGTTATATAGATTACAAAACAATATTCCTGCAAAATTTTATGGTCCAGATATAATTCATTCTACAAAGATGTCCAGTATTGTATACTTACAAATACCTCTTTATTACGGACACTTCACCTGTGGTCATTCGCTATATAGGGGTTTATATATGGAAATTAGTATAGCTGTATAATGTCATGTATGTAATTACGGTCACCCTGTGAAAAGACGAGAATAGAATCTTCGTTTTAACAACAAATGCAAAACTACCCAAAAATAAAAATCGTCGATTTTGATTTCATACCCAGGCCCTTGGCCGGAAAGGTTGTTACTAGCTTGAAATATGTCGGTAACGTCAAAGGCGTTAAAGTGTTACGCCGTTTTGTTGTCCTTTGGTTAATTCTGATTATAAATATTTTACATCCTTATCACGTATTAGTAAACTTCCAATACACTATCTTCAATATACAACGTTTTCTGAATTATCTGTTTTCGCTGCAAGGAAATGGAACATTGCCGCTATGAATGAATCCACAACAGGCGGCGATTCCCAGGGGCCACAGAACCTATTATGATCAGGTTGATCATTCCTCCCGTGGGGCCTGACGCGGRGCGCSCTGTTTCCCTGCCTAGTAAACATATCCATCTAAAAGATTCGCGGTCCTTAGAGCTTTAATTTAGCTGTAATAAAAGATATCTTCTGTATCTGTTTATTCTGTATATATCTTAATTATAAACTCCATGATTAATTCTCGAACGTTATCTTCGATAAAATGTTTTTATTATTAAACTGTATTTTCACATTTATGTTTTAAAATTACTATCACCATTCGCCTGACTATAGTTTTTCATCCTMTTCAATTCACTATAACATTCACTATATTTATATTCAATAATGTGTAAACTTCTATACCATCAAGAACGTGTGGAACGTGGAGGGCTTTARTTGTGCTCCGTTGAATCCCAGCAAATATCTGCTTGTATCTTGTATCTATATGGTTTGTAAACCACTTACGTTAAGAATTTCAAGAGATTTGTGTCGTTGTGTTTATCCGAAAACTAATTATTTTTTGTCCGATGTAAACACTGTACCTAATTTTCCTGTGATGACTGGAAAACAATAACGACGATTGAAGCTTGGTGAAAGCCGTCACATGTCATCGAACAGCGGTATTCGGCCGCAAACCAGCACTACAGCACCCATCCCCACCCCACCCCCATCAAATAATAAATCCACTGAAGAATGATTATGCAAAGCCTGTATCGTTTGCTAATTCCCGAGCTGAGCACTGATTGGCTCGCTGCTCCCTAAGGATTTTGATGACGTCATATATTAGCATAGAACTTCACCGAATAGACTACCCCAATTAGCTTTAGATATCWWTAAGTGTCCTCATAGTACGATGGTCTAAGAGGGTAGCTAAAGGTATGCTCTAGTGGGCGRCTACCCCCTCACTCCCTGGCCTTTTGGTTAAGACTAAGTTTTATGTTCACTTCGGGATAGCGTGGAAGAGCCGAAATCTCTAACCGTAACGTAAGCCGATTCGCCGCCTCAGCTTCATAGAATGTCTCGGGGGAATCGTCCCATATTTTTAGTTTTTTATTTTCATTATTTCTTATGTATGCCAGGGGGGGTACGTCTTCTGCTAAAGTGAAATTTCTGAGTTCGAGTCMTGCTTCTGGAATTTCTCTTTTTTTCGCTTGTTTATTGTTTCTTTTTCGTTTGTTTTTTTGTTTTATTTTCTTCTTTCTTTTTTTTCTTTTTTTCCTTTTCTTTTCTGTTGTTACTTCGTTTGTTTTTTGTGTGTGTTTTCCTAGAGATTTTCTCTTTTTCAACTTCTACAAGGTGGAACAATTATTACACAGGAAACCCAAGAAAGCAACAAAAAACACAGAAAGCCCAAGAAAGGAAAACTAACTATACCAGATAAATACACTCAAATGTTCCGCGAATTTAAACTTAAGAGATAGCACTTATAACATGTATATGTTCTAGAAAGTTTGGAGACGTTTTTGGACTTTTTGAACAGATTTGCTAACAATTTCCTCTACAAGGAGAATTTGCCGTGAGAAGTCTGGGTACTAAATGTTTATAAATTCATTTCAGAGTTCAGTTGTTAGGGTAAACAAGTGGCTAACGACTTTTTTCCTCGAAAAAAACTCCGTTTTTTATAACACTAGTCAATAATTYKTACTTTATATGCATTGTCAATGATATTTTGAACCATGTATACGAGTAGCATGAGCAAAAAAGCTCCTTTCGATGGGAATTCGCCGTACAATTGGCGGCCATTGCCATGCAAAGGGACTAGAAAACGAAATCCTGACGAAGACTTTATCTTGCGTGGAAATGCTACTTCAATGAGGTAAAAGCTGTAATTTTTAAGCTTTAATTGATAATACATGAGTTACTTTAGCTTACGATGACACATTGTACAGCTGTATTCGATTTTATTTACATTAAAATGATAATTTCAAGTGTGTATTGCAAAGTTATCTAGATCTTTAAAAACTCTAAAATTACTATGTACTTTTTACTATCCTACCTACTAGTTTTACTCTGAAATTAAATTTTATTAATATGCTTTCATATATATTATCTCCAGGCATAAAGATACTGGTTATCGAACTAACTCTGCGATGACAATAAGACCAGGAAGTGTAACTATGAGACCAAGTTCATCTCAATCTGTAAGATTTACAGATTATGAAACTACAGCACAGGGATATGATCCCCAAGACCTTGCCATAGATTTATCTGACTTTGACGATGAACCTTGTGAGGAACTTACAAGACTTAAAGACGACAATGCTAACCTTTTAAGTAGTACTGCTAAGTCTGACTGGTTTCTTAACCCAGTACATCGCATGAAGAGCCCACCAATTAACCTTGATAAACTTGGACAATCAAACCCAYTGGAAGCATCTGTATTAAAATCTACTTCACAAGGAAACATCACCAGTGATTTCAATGAGGACATCAGAAACACTTCTATTAAATCTTTTGACATGTCATTGTTTCGGAATGCCGAAGATGAAATGCTTGCATCGAGRACATTAAGTGGGCTCTCAACTCCTTACCGGGAAGAGCTAGCAAGATTAAAAGTTGAACGATTAAAACTTGAAGAAGACAGGTTATTGAAGACAAAATGCACTGAAGAATTGGAGAGAATACGGGGACCAAAACCAAGATGGTATGAGCTAAAAACTCCTGACTTTCACAAAGAAGCACAAAGAAATAATAATGTTTTGTCCCTCAGTGGACACTATAATGAAATTATGGAATATAGGAACAGACTTTTGGCAACATTAGGCGAGGATAAGTGTCCCAGTAGACAGGAATCTATGCATAAGTTTTATCACAGTAAAAGTCATAACCAAACAATATAATCATAGCAATTCTATTGGTTTGGCAATACCAAGTTATTGTAGATAACTGATCACAAGTCTCCCTCAAAAGGTGACCCTTTCATTGTTAGTTGACAAAATTTGATCAAAGACTTTTATCATGTGACTTTGTCTTAATGAACAATTGATAATCATGAAGTGATTAATGCTAACACTGTAGTTTGTTGAATGTTTTATCATGCTTTGTGAACCTGGACATACTAGCGCTATGTAGAAAAAGTCCAAGAATCAAATATTACTTTCATATTTGCGACAGTGTTTGGTGGAAGTAGCATTTGTGACAGAAAAGGGAAACTGAAAGGTTTTTTCATCCTTAATTATCTAAGTTTTTTGTTTAGTTACATTGTCATTATGTTACCCAATTTTTTGAAGGTTTTCTTATTAAAAAATAGCACTGGCTGCAACAGTATTKGGCTGGAGAGAACTTCTTTTCTGGTTTAGTACCGATGTTTTCCAATGTTTTCTTTTAATATTTATGAGCATGAAAGCTCACCTAAATCTCGTTTCCATGCGCTCACCAGGGAGTATTTTTAAAGTGCGCGTGCAACAAATATATGAGATTTCACGCGCACCTTATTGGTGCACAGACTTTGCGCGTCGAAAAGGATTATGGATGATTAAACTGTACCACAGGAGGCCCAGATTTGGGACGACATTTGTAATTCAGAACTACGTCTTATTCTAAATCTATAGCACATAAATATGCTCAACTTTCCTTTATTTCTCATTTGCAAACGTTAGGTTGATCAGCTCCGCATTTTTGAGCATGAAAACGCGCGCGCGAATTGCTTTGACGTCACATTCATTAGATGACGTCATAATAYAATTTGACGTCATTTTTAGTTGATCAATTTCGAAGCTAATCAAAATGTATCGAAATTGCTATTTAGCGAGAAAAAAACACCCAAATTCAATATGATGTTAGCAGACATCATAACGTGCTACTTGTGTAGCATATTTCTGTGCTTTCTTGTTGCTATTTTAGCAGCAAATGCAATTGTTTTGTTGAAAATTAAACATTTTTGCAATCTCAGCACACCCGGCAAACAAGGTAAGTAATTCTTAATTTTCTTCATATTTTCTAGAAATTTAACGTTCGCAACTTTTTAAAAGTTAATTTCTTAGAATGATTGCGTTTTTGTACTGATTTTACTCAATGAAGAAATTGCAAGGAGTCAAAAWTGGCGCGTCGTATATTTAAAGAGCCATGATCCACCGTCATTCAATGCGGTCGCGTTTTAGAGTTTTCACATACGGAAAATGAGGTTTCGTCAAATATTCGTTCGCAATCCGCTTYCATCCGCCGGTTTTAAGGTCAAATCTTAATATCTCGATTCATAGARCAGAAAGGGATAT